CGGGTTTCTTTCTTTCATACATTTTTGCATGATTTGTGGTAATAATTATATAGATATATGCAACTGTGTGGATATTATAATTAGGAATGGGGAGACAAAATGGTTTTCCCACGTGCCTGGTCAGTCTTCTGAATCATCTTATCTTTCTTTATTGATTTTTTTCAGGGATTCTTTTATGCTGGGGATGAAGTTTTTGATCAGTCTGTATGGTGGATAATTGGAGTTATTGGTTCATTCAAAACAATCAAAAGGAAGAGAGACGGAAAAGCATTAAAGGAAGGAAAAAAAGGCAAGAAACTATGGGGGAAGTGAAGAATTTTCAGGGAAAGAAGATGGCGAAGCAGTTGACAGGCAAAAGGGATGATACGCCACTTCACTCAGCCGTGAGAGCAGGGGATCTGGAACTGGTTTTGGAAATGATTAGGGACATTGGAGATGGGGAATTGAGGGATTTTTTGTGTAAGCAGAATCAATCTGGTGAAACTGCCTTATATGTTGCTGCTGAGTGTGGTAATGTTGATTTAGTGAAGGAGTTGATGAAGTGTTATGATATTGTTTTGGCTGGTATTAAAGCAAGGAATGGCTATGATGCTTTTCATATTGCTGCCAAGCAAGGTGATTTGGGTGAGTTCTTTAGCACGATAATATCAGTATGAATGTCCAATCAATCGATTTCTATAGCAAATTATCTATGAAATCATGTTCTGTAGTAAAGCTGAACCCTTTTTTTTTTGAAGTCATTTGATCTGTATAAGTTTCCATATTCTTTAGTGTCTTCGGTTCTTTATTGATGTATTTGCATTCTGAGTATCGTCTTTATGTGTGTCTGTGTACTATCGCAGAGGTATTGAAGATTCTCATGGAGGCCAATGTTGATCTTTCAATGACTTGTGATTCTTATAACACCACAGCGTTGCACACTGCTGCAACACAAGGACATGCTGAAGTGGTGAGTTTTCTCTTGGAAAAAGTCAGCAATGTGTTACCAATAGCGAGGAGCAACGGGAAAACTGCCTTGCATTCCGCTGCACGGAATGGGCATCTAGAGATAGTAAAGGCCCTTTTGTCTAAAGAGCCTGGAATCACAACGAGAACGGACAAGAAGGGGCAGACTGCTCTGCATATGGCAGTTAAAGGGCATAATGTTGATGTGGTAGATGAGCTGATAAATTCTGATCCTAGTTTATTAAATATGGTTGATACTAAGGGAAACAATGCTTTGCATATAGGGACTCGAAAGGGTCGGATTCAGGTAGTTAGGAATGAATTTTTCTGATAGAACTTCTAGGTCCTCTTATATTGTTGAAAAGACTGAGTCTTTCTAATAACTAATTCAATCTTTCAGATTGTTCATAAGCTTCTGAATCAAAGTGGCGATCACAAATCAGTCATCAACAAGTCCAGGGAAACGGCTCTTGACATTGCAGAAAACACAAGCTATCAGCTATTGCAGGCATCTTAAAAGAAATGGAGTCCAATGTGCTAAATTCATCAAGATACAACCTACAAATTCGGCTCGAGAACTGAAACAAACTGTAAGTGATATAAAGCACGGGGTTCATCATCAGCTTGAGCACACACGCCAAACAAGAAAACACATGCAAGGTATAGCTCACCGGCTCAACAAAATCCAAGTTGAAAGCCTCAATAATGCAATCAACTCCACCACAGTGGTGGCTGTCCTTATTGCCACTATTGCGTTTGCTGCCATATTCAGTGTCCCAGGCCAATATGCTGACAGTCCTCAAGACATTTCACCAGGAGTCTCTCCTGGACAAGCAAGAATTGCTCCAAAACTGCCGTTTATGATATTTGTTGTCTTTGACGCTATATCCCTCTTCATATCATTGGCTGTTGTGGTCGTTCAAACCTCAGTTGTAGTTATACAGAGAAAAGCAAAGAAGCAGATGATGGCTATTATTAATAAGCTCATGTGGTTGGCTTGTATACTGATTTCAGTCGCATTTCTTGCCCTTTCGTATATTGTGGTTGGAGAAGATGAGAAGTGGTTAGCTAATCTAGTTACTGGTATAGGGACTGTTATCATGGTGTCAACATTGGCGACACTGTGTTATTGGGTGATTGTGAACCGTGTCGAGGCTTCAAAATTGCGGAGCATCCGCAGGTCTTCAATGAATAGCAGATCTCAATCCATGTCAATGTCATATATGTCTGACACGGAGATTCTGAACAATGAACACAAGAAATTCTATGCAGTTTGAGCTCTGATGTGCCTTATATCCTCTGCTTCACTCTTTACTCACGCATCTTTTTTCTCATATGTACATGGATCTGGCTAACTGTAGCAGAAAGTTAGCCTAGTGCTTCTCACTGAAGCAAAACTGCAAGATTGAGCTTATACAGATTGTATAACAACATATATATATAGACATTCCTTTTTGTACAACAATTACTCAATAATCTGGCTTCATTGTCTAGATTATTTGTTACATTCTAATGCATCTAATTGCTTTTATGTCCTAATGTTCCAACTGACAATCACTCTAACCTCGGAACTTGCTGATTACTTTTGTTCCAAAGATAATCCCAAAGGATATCGCTATATTACACTTAACTACATAAACTAAACATCTTTCAAATGAGTATAATAATATATGCCCATATTATACTGTGCTTTTCCCAGGTCACATGTATAAGATTCCCGGTGTAACCCTTTTCCTCTTCTTGCAAGACAACAAAGGTTCTGGTGCCAGGTGAGTATTGCAGTGATTCTCCTGCATAGTTTCCTTCGTAATATGCCGTCATGGCATAATTAGTCACATATATAACCAATGCCTTTTACCACATTCATTGCAAATAAAAATATCTTATGCTTATGAAGTCTGTCTTTGTTGCTATTCTTCTTATGATTCAATCTTCCTAGGATAATGCTTCAATTTCACCATGTCCAGCATTAGGATGACCAACCAATAGTTTCCACACTTGGGTGTGGCATGTTCTTTGTTTTGGCTATTTAAAAAGATGATATTTACTCTTTTCTTGTTCCTTCTAAATTTGAATGTGAAAAAGACATGCCCTGCCTCCCTGTCTCAAATTTTCTGTAATTGCTTTCACTTTTTGTCATTCTGTCTTAATTATGGAAGAACTTGGAATTTTTTATAAAGGGGTTGCCTAGAAGTGCAAGCTAAAAACTGCTAATAAAAGAATTTATGATATGCCAAATTGAAAAGACAAGTTGGTTTCATTAGATTGTATTTACTTCTTTCAACTTTTCTTTATAAACTTATCGTTTCTTGTTTAAGCAGACAACACATAAACGACCTGCTAATGCAGTTTCATCTTTTGTTTAAGCAGACAATAGGCTTTTACATGCTACTTTTCTGTAATATTGATAACTAAGTTCATCAAGGCTTCATTCCGGTCTCTAAAGGGAACAAGAACGAGATTATAAAGTTTAATTTAAATGAGATGAGAGAATAGTTTGATTATTTTATACATGGCAACATTATGCAGAAGGTGCATTGTGCTTCAGAGCAATATGCAAGAAATATGACAAGTTACTTGCAGATTATTTTTTTTATAACTTCATTATCTTTTCTTGAGGATATAATAGTGATCCCTTGAATCTATCCGGACATTTTCTCACATGCTTCACTTGTTGACAATGGTCCCAAAGAGAAAACTTTCAAAGAGTTCATTACTGAAATTTGTACAGGATGCTATAATTGAATGCAATGGTAAAATATCTGTCAATCTGATCTGTTTCATCACACGAACACGATAATTCGAAAAGAAGGGAAAATGTTACCTGTCTTTTTTGTAGAAATAGTTCGAGTTTCCATTGGAATAAAGATCCATTTTACTAGCTTACAAAGTGTTAGAGCCTTGCTCTTCCTGTTGCTAACCAAATGGAAAAAATGTGACCATACAGGTAGGGAAAAGGAGTTGCTTTTCAAGTCTTATCTGTACTCTTAATGCTCAACATCTATCAAATTATCTGCTATGCAATTTCGTTATTTCCTTTCCCTTCTTGTCAAAAATATAGCAGGCATGTTTTGTTTTAGTTTAATGGTTAGTCGAAATCATGAGAAAATAACGATAAGATAGAAAGAAACTCTTTTTTGTTTTGACAGCTAAAGTTCGGGTCATTCCGTTTTCAGTTTCATACAGGCAAGAAAGACTATATATCTAGTGATCAAATCATTTCATAAATAGTATATAATTGCAATTAACATAAAGCTTTAGGTATGGTTTAGCCTTAATTTGCAGTATACCATGCTGCTCAGCTGGTGGAGTGATCATGCTTGTCCTGAATAAAGCACCTGTTTGTTCCTTCAATCAATTTATTTTCAAGGTATCAAAATGTAATTTAAACCCACTTTTATAAAGTAAGATTACAGGGTCTCTTCTTGATGCAAAGTGAGTTATTTGACCAGTAAAAGAAAGAATACTTACTGTTATTGGTTTGTTTAGATCAGATGAAAATAGAAATATATATTTGTAAGAACTTTCTTTTACTAAAGAGAAAAGTAGGCCTCATTTTCTGGAATGTTGAAAACTGGGAGATTTCAGTTTTGTATATAAAAAGGGCTGAAACAGTAATAAAAAAAATTCTATTTCTGGGAAAAGCTTCATGTAAAGAAAAGTATTTTTGTAAAATACAGAGTTTTAACAGAATCTACTGATTTGAAGTTCTGGTGCTCTTACTGGAAAAGTTTTATTTAAAAAACTTTGGGGTTTCTTTGTTTTCAACAGGAATTAACTTTTCAACTTAGCATCAGTTCAGTGGTGTAAAAAACTTGATTAAGTAGTAAAAGATCATTGTCAAATGCCTAATAGATGCTCCATGGAAACTGGCAAGTCCTTGTAAAAGAGAATGTTTTGTCTCAGTACAAGGGGGAAAAGAGAATTTAAGCAAACAGTTAGTGGAATCAATCAACTCCAATCATCCAATATTGAACAAGTACAAAAAGGAAAGCCATATAATGACCATTGATTTTGAATGATAAACTTCCATGGAAGAATCTCCACTCTTTTTCATTGTTATTTGAACAATATTGGATTTTCAATGTGTTCTTCCACAGAAACCTATTACAGGATCATTAACAAATTGATCTGAAAATAACACTCACTTTGGAAGCATGTAACAGGAACTGGCTACAATTTTCAGTGTTTTTCCTTTTTTTCAAGTTCATATGCTGCAAAGTACTGGTTTTTCTTGGTCCCTACTAACTGAAATCTTTGAAGCAGAAAGTTAACAAACCCCAAGTTCAGTTGCAGTCTTTCTTGAACCAGACAGCTGCTGAGACTGCTTACAGTGAGAATTTGCTCCCTCGATGGAATTTTCAATCTCCAAATTCGTGCTGGTGCTTCTTTTCAGAAACTGTAAATCATAGAATCCACTTGAACTAAATGAAAACGATGAAGATGACGATGAGGAATTCGATGAAGATGTTGATGTAGATGAAGACTTTGCTGTAGAATGCTTTTGAATTACTCCTGAGAAAGATTGCCTATGGCTGTTTGCTGCATCTTCAGCTAGCTCCTTATCAATGCTCTTCATAATAAGATTCAATATCTTAAATCTCTCATTATCAATCTTCCCAAATGAATTCATCTTTGCCATCTTCATGTACTTGTTGACACAATCTTTGTTTTTCGAAACATTACCTGCTTCCACATTGCATGCTGCTTTGGCACAAGATTCATCCGAACAGCCAGACTTGCTAAACAAAGACTTGAGATACGCCCAAGACGCCTTGAACTTTTGGCTTATCGAGGATTGCTTGATCTTCTTGAGCTTCCGAGACCAAGAAGTCTTCGAAACCGAATCATCACCGATGAAACCATTCATTTCAGTCGAACATTCGAAGTGGTCATCGACATTAAGCTCACTACTCACCCTACGGGATTCTGATGGTGAGATGCTTGAGTTTTCTTCAAAGGGTGCTCGAGTTTTGCACTCGTAGGTAGCATTATCGGAACTTTGTGTTAGCTTCCGAACCATTTGCAGGCGAGGAGGGAGGTGGAGGGGAAGGAGCTTGCCCTTGTAGAACAGTTCATCAGCCGGATTAATTGAAGTGAATTCTCCATCTGGAGAAACTGAACACATTTGGAACTCAAACTCTCTGCTTTGAGATGGAGAGCATATGGAATAACACAAATAGTTGGAGGGTGAGCTTACTTCCATATCAATATAATCTTCATCTGCATGGTATCTGGCCATCATTTGAACTCTAAAAAACCTCACTCTTCTCTCTTGTTTTGAGCTTATGGGAAGGTGAGCTTGGTGATGAAAGAGGGGTATCCTTCAAAGTGAAGATGGAGCCAAGTTAGAAAAAAAATCAGGAGTTGTCAGATCTTTTCCACTTCTTTTTTTTTCTCCTTTGTAGTAATATCTTCAATGGTTCCAAAAAATAAAATGGCACAAAAAAAAAAGTCTGGATTTCCCACTCACTCAGCTTATCATCTTCTGACTGACCCCATTTATGTAGTATTTGTTTTGCATTTTTTATCTCTTCAATTCTCCATCAAAATGACCTTGGTTTTACTCTTTTACATCATTTACCAATTCTGAAACTGAAGAAAGCAAAGAATCTTCTGATTACCATAGTTATTAAAACCATTAACCAATGAACTTCAAAACAGGAGGAACTTGGAACCATGTGATCAAATCCCTATAACTCAAGAAACTGTTGTTTAGTGAAAACCCATGCTCATGTTCTTTGAACTTGTACAGAATGTGTAAGAATCTTCCAGTATACCCACCAGAAAGAAAAAGGTGACAGTGCCCTTTGTTTTGCTGAAAGTTTCATTGCAGGCAGCTGCGTACATATCTCTTTCAACAGTGTTTAAGAAAATGAAAGTAGAACAAAAAATAGATCAAAGAGATCATATGGATTTGAAATTATATGATAATGACATGCATGATGATAGTGCATCCACTTGGGAATTCTCAAGGATTTAAGCATCTATTGCCTGTCTATCTGCATCCTCCTCAACTTGTGTTCAAGAATAATTGTGGATTAAACCTTTTTATTAAAGAAAATAAGAACAGCATTACTTACTGAATATAAAACAAAATACCAATTATAAAATAGGGTAGTTGGTTTCTGCACATCCACAAACTTCATTCACTGCAACATAATTTAAATTTAGAAAGGGGAGAAACCAGGCAGGCGGCCAGCCCTGTTTCCAAAACCTGGTTTTCAGCACTGTGGCTGTCCCTTGTTCCCATATATAATAGGGTAACGGGAGGTAAGATAGGCTGCCCCCAACACTAGGTTGAGAGCAACTTCCGAGACCTCCAAATTATGAAATGCCCTTCATGGGACTCGATCCCACAACCTCAAGATTAAAAATCTTGTGCTCTACCAACTGAGCTTGATTAAGTTTTACAATTCAATATACTGATAAATTAGAGGCTGAGAGAGAGAGAGAGAGTGTTATTATTATATTAAGAGTTTGAATTAAGTTAAGCTAAGCTAATATTAAATGTATGATAATGATGTATCAGACTATTGTTATATTTAGACGGTGTGATATGAATTAGCTGATTAACAACTACGACATTTAGGAATGTACTTAAACATTGATTAATAATTTTCAGAGATGGGATGTTTTATAGCCCAAGTTTCTTCCAATTTTTAGAAAATTCCAAGCACCTCACTGAAAACAAACACAAGCTCCACCGACCCCTAAGAAAACCAAGTATAAACTCAATAACTACATTGAACCTAGGACATGTAGTTGTGTATACAGCATAATGTTAAAAAATCTTTCATTAAATAATTATTTTGGTCTCTATTATTTTTTCCTTTTGGAGTGACTCATAACGTTTTATTTTAAGATAAAAAAGTATCTAATGTTTGACTAAACAATCACTTTAGTTCTTACTCTATCTTTTTGGGAGTATTTTGACTACCATCGTTTTATCTTAGGGCAAAAAACCTCTATTTTAAAGGGTTTCTCGTTTATTGATTAAAAAAAAGAGAAGTCAAAGTGATTATTTAGTCAAACGTTAAAGTTATCTTTTATCATTATACCTTTGTACATTATGCTCGATCTCTATACACAATAGAATAAGACATGAACCCGAACATCTAATACAAGTATACTATGATTACGATAGCATAATAATTTTTAGAAAATGATGATATTGACATGACAATACACAACGATAGAAATAATTAAATAAAATATATAAACAATCTTTTGATTATAGAATATTTTTATTGAGTTTTCAATTATAAAAAATATAAAAATAATAAATTAATCTATTAATGTTGAAAATTTAACAACAGATAGCATATTAATTAATAAAATTAATACAATAAAAGTTTAACCCAATGGGTCATGGGGGTCACTTTCATAAACTTCTCTTTTGCAACTGGGTTTCTAATTACATAAACACTTGGTCAACGACCTAATTTCAATCAGTACTAAATGATTCAACCACATAAACACTTCTTATTGAATGCATTATTTCAGAAATATTTTGCTGCAATGGGTTTTCAAAGACAAACTTGTTACTGAAATAAACCCTTTTGACAGAAGTGCCTTGTTCATCCTGCTTTAGCACATTTTCCTGGTAAAATTTTGCATACATATATAATCATAGAAATCAACAAACAATGATTTTATCTTTATGGTACATAGCAATGGGAGGCAATGATTTTGATTTTGAAGGTTACTTTACATATGATATGTATGTGTGAAAACATGATGAATGACCACAAATAGAAGTAAAACTATATCCTCTAAGCCATCAACTATCTCACTAAATATCCGGTAATGGCACTTTCCAAAAATTCCATTGGTTAAAATCTTCCTGGAAACGTATTGGGATATTAGGGATACCATTGAAGGCTCTAAAAAAAAATCTAGCCAGGAGTATGCAATGAGAAAATTTTTCGCGGTATAAGTAGAGAGGAGAGAAATATACTCCTTACTTGCTCAACCAACGAGGCCGGTGGAAACATGTCGTCGACAAGAGTATGCAACAATGTGTAAGACCTTGCATTGTTGATATAATGACTGATAGCCACTTCACCCTGCCAGTTTAGAAGAAAGATATAGAAAGTCGGTAGCAATGGCACGAATTGCTTCGGTTAATTTTTCACTCTTTTTTCGCATACCATATTGTAGTACCTTAGGGTTAATTATAAATATCTTGCCCTTTGGGATGCCAATTTTTAGATAAGTGAGTTCATCCGTGTCTCTGTTTCCAAAGCCAGCACAAAACGGATTATGATCGGAAGGGAAAAGTTTCTTGATATCCTACAATGCATATATAAGAAGGAAATAAAAAAGGTGAAAAACTGATCCTCTCATAGTAATAGTTTCAATCTATACTGAGAAACCGAGTTTATTATGTCACAACTTACCTCTAAACAAGCTATTTTGAATTCATGAGGTGCTCGTCATATCACTGCCGTGAATAAGGAGGAAATTGTTGACGAAATCAGAAAGAGTCTCGTATATTAATACGGCTAAGATGAAAATTGAGAAAAGCAGCTGGTGTCCATTCTCCTGATATGAACACAATTCAGTATTGTACGTAATACCAATGAAATCACTTTGCTAACATGCATGTAAACATATCTTAGTTAAATGAAATCGCTTGAAGAAGCGCATTGGGTCTCATAAAAATGATAACCACACCAGGTGACAATTAATCGTTCAAATCAAACTCCAATGTGACCCGATATTGAGCCCAGTGTTGCGTAGAAACAATATTATGTTTGTGTAAGCAGAAACATGGTAGTAAGAAAGTTAAGGAACATAATCATGTCAGAATAATGTTCACATCATAATGATCTAAGTTTGAAGAATATATCATCACTTACACGTGCTTGTGTATACAAAAGGAGAGCAATACTGCAGAAGTCATTTCGTGGATCTAGTTTTGCACGACAATCCGGAACAGAATAAAGGCTCGATCAAATCAAGTTGAACAGTAAAACATATGAGAGAAAGCACACCTTAATAGCAGAGAAAAGTTTAGCTACACCAGATTGTGTCCAATCCCTTCCAACTAATGGCATAAACTGGCCTAAAACGTCAGACCTGAAAGAAATGTGTCAAGGTTATCGAGAGGAACAGCTTCTTTTAAACCTAGACACGAATCACGATTGAAAAATGTTCAAAACAAGGATTTCACCATAAACCAATTGGCGAATGACAACTTCTAAAAATGCTCATTGCTGCTTTAATACCAAAGGTCATAATGGAAGAGCTTATCTCAGCTTCAAAAATAAGCAGATGACTTATTTATCTCCTCTTCTTTTGTAATCCATTTTAATTTGTTGGTTCCCTTATCATACTCATCATCATGATGCCTAGTAAGGAAACCATCTACCGTTTCCAGAATGTACATATCATAATATAAAATACAGGTGAGTTTAGACAGGTTGCTAAATGAGTGAAACAAGAACACATTAAATAATGCAGAGATAACATCAGGAGAAAAAAAATCCCTACTTGGTAATAGTTCCGTCAACATCTGAGATTACAATCTTATCGTTCCACTTCCACAAGTAAAGATGAGCATCAACCTGTTAAAGTGCATATGTTTAACAGACTGAGCAAACACAAACCTTGCAAACCTGCAAGAAGAATTGAGTAATAGAGAACTGAAACCTGTTGGTTTCCGAAAACCCTGGTGGAGAAATTGAAAATAACCATAATTTGACCATCTTTTAGATTCAAGGAAGCTATCTTCTCAGTAGTGGGAACATTTGTTCTAATAAATTGCTTGCGGGAAGAATCAAGAGTTGAACCTGCTTGTGAATTTTGTAGATCAGGTTTAGTATCAACAAATGCCTCCCCATTTGATGAATTGGTGTCAGTGTTCTCAATATTTTTGCCCTTCATGAAGGGAATAGGCCAGAGCTTCCATCTGCGGGTAGAAGCTGTAGAAGTGACTGTATAACCGTCACCCTTCGGGTTTGATGGCTCAACCTGTTCAACACGGACTGTATCTTGGGGATCAACAATCGACTCTGAACCAGATGCATTCTTAATAACTGAACTTGCATTATTTTTTATTCCTTATTTGGTATGTGGTGTGCTTCAAGGACTGCTGCAACAACAGCCTCTAATCCCATACCTGCATGAAGTTTTTTTTTCAACAAAGAGACATCTCAAATCCTGGAAAGACAAATTGAACAAGAGAAACTAAGTATTCCATGAGAACCAAAGCGAGATAGAAGAGACGAAAAGGACCTTAGATTGTTACCCGGCTTAGTATAATCTCCTGTCTCTTTACCAGAAGTATGTTCAGTTTCGACATTCTCACTTTTGCCATTCTTATTATCAGGTTCAGGACTTTGCAGACTGCCATTTATCCCTTCAGTTAACACTGATGCACCAAACCGTTCAACGCTCCTTTGAGACTCATTACCAATAGGTCCGACAGACACATTGTTTGAATCCAGCATTTTATTTTCAACTTGCAAGTTGGGAGATCCATTATCGTTGGAGGAAGACGACACATGTTCATTTTTGGAGTCATCAACAGCTCCATCTTTGCTTTCATTAAAGTCTGAAAGGATGCAAGAAGGTTTATCTTGAGAAATGTGAGCTTTCAACGGCCTATCTGTATCTCCAGGATCAGTGTTTTCACTGTCTGCCTAATTCAGACAGTTCGAGGAAGCTCTCATAAAC